ATTGTTGTTGAATATTACCCAATCACATTCTAAATTTGTATTAATGTATGTTAAAATTATTTTCATGATACATAGACATCATTCAAATTTTCCAATAAGTAATTTATCTAAATTTCATATACCACTTAATCAGTGGACAAACCCTCTACAAAACATAATTCTGTTTTACGAAGAAAGATGAAAAACTTAGGTCTCAAACCTCTTTAACCTTCATACTATTTCAGTGAATGATGCAAATATGCATTAAAACAAAATTTTCATATTTTCTAATTGTTCTCGAAATATGTGAGTTAACCCCTACAGAAATTCAAGTTTTTCGATAAATGCTATATTAAAAAGTTTAGGCTCCTTATTCTTGATCAATATTACCCAATCACATTCTACATTTGTATTAATTTATGTTAAAATTATTTTCATGGTACATAGACATCATTTCACATTTTCCAACAGGTAACTTAATTAAATTTCATATACCACCTAATCAGTGAATAATCCCCCTACAAAACATAATTCTGTTTTTCGGATAAACATGAACAACTTAGGTCTCAAACCTCTTTAACCTTCATACTATGTCAGTTAATGATGCAAATATACATTAAACCAAAATTTTCATATTTTCTAATTTTTCTCGAAATACGTGGGTTAACCCCTACGAAAAAGTTGAGTTTTTCTTATAAGTTTTTTTGATAAATCCTATATTAAGAAGTTTAGGCTCTTTATTGTTGATGAAAATTACCCAATAAATTTCTAAATTTTTATTAATGTATGTCAAAATTATTTTCATGGTAAATGAACATCATTACAAATTTTTTAACAAGTAATTTATTTAAATTTCATATACCACTAAATCAAAGGATAAACTCCCTATAAAAGAAATTTTATTTTCTGGTGAAACATGAACACCTAAGGTCTCAAACCTCTTTAACTTTCATACTATGTCAGTGAATGATGAAAATATGCATTAAAAGAAAATTTTCATATTTTCTAATTTTTCTCGAAATATGTGGGTTAACCCCTACAAAAAATCAAGTTTTTCGATAAATGTTATATAAAGAAGTTTAGGCTCTTTATTGTTGATGAATATTACCCAATCATAGTTTAAATTTGTTTTAATGTATGTCAAAATTATTTTCATGGTACATGGATATCTTTTCAAATTTTCCATAAGGTAATTTATTTAAATTACATATACCACTTAATCAAAGGATAAACTCCCTATATAAGAAATTCTATTTTCGTGTGAAACATAAAACCTAAGGTATCAAACCTCTTTTACCTTCATAATATGTCAGTGAACGATGCAAATATGCATTAAAACAAAACTTTCATATTTTCTAATTTTTCTCGAAATATGTGAGTTAACCCCTACAGAAATTCAAGTTTTTCGATAAAATGCTATATTGAAAAGTTTAGGCTCTTTATTGTTGATGAATATTACCCAATCACATTCTAAAGTTTTGTTAATGTATGTTAAAATTATTTTCAAGGTACATAGACATCATTTCATATTTTCAAACAGCTAATTTATTTAAATTTCATATATTATTTAATCAGTGGACAAACCCCCTACAAAAACAATTTTATTTTCTGGAGAAACATGAACACCTAGGGTCTCAAACCTCTTTAACCTTCATATTATGACAGTGAATGATTCAAATATGCATTAAAACAAAATTTTCATATTTTTAATTTTTTTCAAAATATGTGGGTTAACCCCTACAGAAAATCAAGTTTTTCGATAAACGTTATATTAAGAAGTTTAGGCTCTTTATTGTTGATGAAAATTACCCAATCACATTCTAAATTTGTATTAATGTATGTTAAAATTATTTTTATGGTACATGGACATCATTTCAAATTTTCCAATTGGTAATTTATTTAAATTCTATATACCACTTAACAAGTGGACAAACCCCCTACAAAACAAAATTCTATTTTCTGGAGAAACATGAACACCTAAGGTCTCAAACCTCTTTAACCTTCATACTATGTCAGTGAATGATGTAAATATTCATTTAAAACAAAATTTTCATATTTTCTATTTTTTTCTCAAAATATATGGGTTAAATGCTAAATTCAAAAGTTTAGGCTCTATATTGTAGATAAAAAGATTACCTAATCAAATTCTAAATTACTATTATTGTATGTTAAAATTATTTTCATCGTACATGGGCATCATTTCATGTATTTTAGTAAATAATTTAATAAAACTTCATATTTCACCTAATTTAGTGGTTTTAACCCCTATAAAATTTGTATTTTCTAGAGAAACATGGACAGCTAAGGCCACACCCCTCTTTAATCTTATTTTGTAATTTATGATAAGCCTATGAAAAGATTGAGTTTTCCAATAAATGCTATATATACTAAAGTTTAGCCTCTTTCGTGCTATTTAAAAATACCTAACTACCCTCAAAACTTATATTAATGTATGATAAACTTATTTACCTGGTACATAGACATCATTTCTAATTTTCCAACGTGTAATTTATTTAAATTTCATATACCACTTAATCAGTGAACAAACTCCATACAAAAACTCAATTTTATGGAGAAACATGAACACCTAACGTCCCAAACCTCTTTAATCTCCGTACTATGTCACTGCATGATGCAAATATGCATTAAAAGAAAATTTTCATATTTTCTAATTTTTCTCGAAATATGTCACAAAAGAAATCAAGTTTTCAATAAATGATGTTTTAAGAAGTTTAGGCTCTTTATTGTTGATAAAAAATTACCCAATCACATTCTATGATGGAGCTATGTATTAACAAAAAATAATGTATTTTCTAATCTATCTTATAAAAAGATTGAATTTTGTGATAAATGTTATATATAAGCCTCCTTTGTTTTGTTTAAAAATACCTATACACATTCAAAATGTATATTAATCTACTAAACTTATGTTCATGGTACATGAGCATCATTTCTAATTTTCAACTGAATAATTTAATAAAACTCTATATAGAACCAAAATAGTTGAACTAAACCCAATAAAATCTCTATTTTCTATAGAAATTTGGACAACTAAGGTATCAAAACTCTTTACTATTCATCGTATATGAGTGCTGGATACAGCTATGCTTAAAAACAAAAATTCCATATTTTTAATTTTTTTTTTGAAATCTTTGGGTTAACCCCCTACGAAAAAGATCGAGTTTTTCCGATAAATGATATTGTACTTATGTGTTTAGCCTCTTTAGTGCATTTTAAAATATCAAACCACATTAAAAACTATCCTAACTATCCAATTATAGGTAATTATTTTAAATGATACAATTACATTATATATTTGAATAGACACATCATTTAAAAAAAACACATTTATTATATAAAGATTAACTATTTTTAAAAGTAACTAAAATTTAAATAGATGCAACGCACTATTTCAAAAAAACAGTTTCATTACAGATAGATAGCTTAGGTACTTTTAAAATCTAATTTTTCTTTGCAATAGATAGACATAACCTTTCACGTATATGAGATTCACAACCTTTGATATTAATTGAGATTGTTGTTATTAATAGATATGTACATATATTAAGTAAATTATCTCTCTCTTTTTAGTTAAAATATATTAATTTGTGCCAATTCATTTCAAAACGTTGGAAGAGCTCATGTTTTGCTTGGTCTTTGCTGAGAGAAAAAAAATTGCACTTCCACTAGCTAAATCTTTAAGAATTTATATTGGAAAATATGTCATTTAAATCATCAACTTTCAAATTTGGTTGAAGTAAAGCACCAATTCTCGGAAGCTAAAAAACATTTAACTTTTGTTGATGCCATTTTACTCACAAACTTTCATCGACTATACTACTTTAGGCATATCGTTAGTCAACCTTTATAATTGACTAACAGTATGCCTAAAACGACTTTTAAAGATTATGATTTTTTCATAAATATAAATCAACATTTTTAAAAAAATTAGTGGATATAATTTTAAATATTAAGAAAAATATTTTTAATAACTATAACACTAATAAATAAAATTATAAATAAAAAATAATTCTAATCAAAGTTATAAACAGAAATCAATGTAAAATAATTAGTGAACATATCATTAATTTATTATCTTAGTTATAAAATGATTATGAATTTTATAATTATTTACAATTAATTTTTTTGAATATTTATATAATCCTATTTGGACTACGTTTTGTAATTTTATTTTCAAAACTTTTTTAGTGAAATATTATTTTTGGATTTCAAAATTGTTGATGAAACTTATTTTTCTTTAAATGCAGAAAAAAAAAATCTTGTAACAAATTTATAGAAATTATACAGATTTGTTTGAAGATCTTTATTACAAAAATAAAGAATAATGAAGAGTCCATTAACCGATAACTCTTTTCGTTTAAGAATCAAGAGTTGAATTAATATTTCACTAAAAAAATTTTGAAAATAAAATTACAAAAGTGTAATCGAAATAGGATTATATAAATATTCACAAAAATTAATTGCAAATAATTAAAAAATTCATAATCATTTATAACTAAAATACTCAATTAACGATATGTTAACTAATTATTTTACATTGAGTTCTGTTTATATTTTTGATTAGAATTATTTTTTATTTATTATTCTATTTATTAGTGTTATAGTTATTAAAAATATTTTTCTCAATATTTAAAACTATATCCAATATTTTAGAAAAAATATTGATCTATGTTTGTGTCAAAAAAAACCATCAACTTTTAAAGTCATTTTAGGTCTAACTGTTGACTAAAGATATGACTAAAATGTTATAGTCGATGAAAATTTATGATTAAAATGGCTTATAACAAAAACTGAGTAATTATTTGCTTACGAGAAAATTGGTGTTTTATTTCAACCAAATTTAAAAGTTAATGATTTAAATAACATTTTTCTCTTTCTATATCAGTTGGTTAAAAATCATTAATGGTCAATGTCTCTAAGTTTAAGCCTTGGTGTGAAGAAGCTGATCACTACTGAATACAAATTCTAACTTTTAAGAATAATCAAAATCAAAAGCCTCTTTTTACATCAAAGTCCCCAACAATATACAATCAACATCACTGTAGAGTAGCCTAACTACATATCCAAACGAGACACTAATAGAGCTTTTCCCAACGTTTATGTTACATGTAAGAAGATGACTTGGAAGTGAACACATACAAGAACACTACTAGTTGAGCTAAGCGTGATTGATGTAAGACATATCCAAACGAGAGCTCTCAAATTGTGGCAAATGAAGCTGTGATTGTGTAGTAGAAGTAAAAGGCAAACCGAAAGATGGTTCTCTAGCATCAGGCAAGAGACAATCAACACCACCGACATTGCTGTAATATGAAGGCAGACCAGCAATCTCTGGATTATATGGAAAAGGTAGTTGTTTCTGGCTGAATGTGACACTGTTTAGTTGCTGTCCTAAACCATATTCATGAAAGTAGAGATCCTTATCAGTCAATGGACAAGACACGAGTGAGCCACACGGATACAGGAGTGTGGGAGGCAATTCTGAATCAGGAACAACGTATGTTCCGACTTGGGGTGGTTCACAAAACATAGGAAAGAGAGTATCCTTTGAACCATTTGCTTCAACTAAATCACCTTGTAAATTTAGAGGGAACCCTGAGATGGCCTCTTCCACAAGAAACGGATCAAAAGGTGATTGGTTTAGCAATGTCCTGGAACGCATAGCAACTGATGCAGGTTGAGACAAGGAAGCAGAGTTAGATGATTGGTTAGGTTGAGACACATGCCTCTTTCTCTCCAAATCCAATGCATCTTTAACTCTTTCCAGTGTGAGATGTGGTCCAGGAAAACAAGACAGGCTAGATTCTGCTCGAGCATGACTTAACAACCTTCTCTCTGAAACAACAGGCTGAAACTTGTTTCGTTGCGTGGATTCAAACACCATATTGTCACTGGCATGGACGTTTAACATAACCTTACGTGATTGATCCTCCACAGCAGAAGATAGACTTAGCCGATTCATTTGCGAGCAGCAGAGTTTTAAAGAGTCTCTGACTTGACTCTCGCACTGAGAAGCATCAGTACTCCTCACCGAGCAAACTTTCCTTTTAGTAGCCACCTTCAAAGTTCTAGGAATCTGAAACTCAAAACCACAATCTTGACTCACTGATCTGGCAGAATCTTGAAACAGTTCTTCGCAGTTATAAACCTGATCATGTAAATTTGCGTCACTAGTGTTAGTTTACAAGAAAGGCTTATGAGCTAAAAACAAAGCACAACATAACATTGTAGACGCTTAAGATTATCCTTCATTACAAAAGCAAACAAAAACATCTAAAAACAGTTCAATTAGCTAAACGGGAAGTACAAAATGGACATAAATCAAACATTTTTGAAGGTTTTAATACTCTCTCTATTTCAAATTATATGATGTTTTGGTAGGTTTATGTTATTTCAAAATATAAGATGTTTTGAGATTTTAAAGTATATCTTGAGATACTAAGATTAACTTTAATTTTATTAGAAATTATTCAACCAATAAAATTTTAGTATTTTTATAATTGGTTAAATGAATTTAAAATTATATCTTTAAAAATATTTTTTTAGGAATATATATTTCTTATTTTTTGTGCATTAAATCAAAACATCATATAAATAGGAACGGAGAGTACTAAATAAGACCTTATTGTCAGTTTTGGCATGGAGGGAATCATCTAGCTTCTTGGTTTTAATCTTCTTGTTATGCAACACAATATCATTCGTCGTAGTTTCACCGATGGAGCGTTTCTTACCGAGACAAGACTCTGCATTGGAAGCTGGTTTGGGTTTCGTTAGCAACGAGGTAAGCTCATGAGACCACCAACGGAACTTGGCAACGGTTAACGGTGGAAGCAACGACTGAATAAAATCTCCAGTAAACTCCCCGGTGAAGGGACAGCATTTCTTGATATCAACACTCCTAACGTTACTCGTGTACTCTCTGCCACAGAAACAAAATCAAAATCGTGTCTATTTCTATTATAGTAAACAAAAGATATCAAACACTCATACCTGATGGTGAAGCCAGCCTCCATGGGACCAAGGAGACGAGCGAGAGAGTAGAGAGAGAAGGAGAGTTTCAGAGTCTCTCTCTCTCTCTGTAATGGCGCTTGCTTTGACATATTTGTTCTTTTTATTTTTATTTTTGTTAAAAAATATGATTAATTTAAAAGAAGTGAAAGCGACAGAGGAGAGGAGACAGTTACCGAACCCCTCAAGTGTAGAGGCACAGATTTGTATATCAGTCTCTAACCATTAGGTCTTCTCTTCACGCGCTAATTTGCCTTCTTTTACAAGTAACCTCTACCTTTATGACATTCTTCTATATCTGCAAATATTTTAATTTCTTGTCATGTTAAATTTTGGTCAGAAGCTTTGGTATCAACATCTGTCAAAATCTTACAGACTCGATTTGACTTATGACTGAGCAGATAAATAAATAAAAATAGTACTATCGATTTGACCGCATCTATTATTTCAGAACACACTTTTGCTACTGTACATGGCTTTTTATCGGCTCGAGGTCTTCTTTCTACAGCAAGTCATCAGTCATGTCACCTCAAAGATTCGAACTAGATACCAACGCAAGAAAACAATTAAACTAGTGTTAAATTTAACGTCTTAAACTTATTCAGGTCACGCAACTTAAATCTCCTCAGTAACTCAAAATAATAATAACACAGTCATTAATACAAAAATGCTAACATACAATTTGACATTATTTTTATTCCAATTCAGGCGACCAAAATCCTCTCCATTACATAATTTAAAGAACGAAAACACAAAGCTCCTCTTGGGTGTTCACCTGGTTATGGATGAACGGCTACTACTGGGATTCACATAATCTCGTTTTGTAAACAATCTGATTCTTGGAAGGCACTTTCCTAGCCTCACATGTTCCTAATCATAAGAGCATCCACATCAATGAAGGGGGTTCATTGAATCATTTTTTTATTATTAAAAATTTTCTATTTTTTTTTTGATATTTTAAAAAAAAAAAAAAAAAATCTAGACCAATCCGGAATCCCCACGTGTTGAACCTCAGGAGAAAGAGGTTCACCGGGGTGAACTTTAGGAGAGAGGAATTCATAGATTTTTGTTATTTTATTTTTTTATTTTTATTTCTGTGTGAACTCCCCCCCATAAACCTTCAATGAGGGTGCTCTAAAGCGTCTCACAAACTTTAATACTAGATACATTTCCATAACCAGGATAACTTACTCTCTTAGTCCAAAAGGATATGATTTTGCTAGAGCATTGAATGGTGGACGTTCACCTTCAACGTATGCTTTAGGAACTTTAGTTTCTTCTTTCAGATGGAACGGTACACAGCCTTCTATAATCTGTTTAGTTTGTTAACCCCACAAACAACATTGGATTAGCCACAAGAGTTTGTGCTTTGCATCAGCAACCTTTTCCTCTTTAAAGGATTTAAATTTGTAATCTTCTTTTTTTTTTTTTTTTTTTTTAATTTGTAATCCTCTCTAATCGGACTTTTGTATTGATCATTTGCAAACCCTTGGGCCTTCTTATTGAAGAACAAGTTGACCAAAAAAAACACTAAAAACCACTTTAAAGTATTAAAAGATTTCGAAAAGCAATTATGTTAACCAATAAAAAATTTATGCTAAAGTTTAATTTCAAGATATTAATTAACTAAATAACAAAAAAGTTAATATCACCAATTCTTTTCATAACCGAAATGTTTGGTCCGGAATTTTTAGTGAGTTAATAATATACATATGATTGGTGGTTTTCAAATTGTAAAAGATCATACTAAAGATATTTATAGCCACAATTTTTTGTAAGATCGTCCCTGAAAGAAAAATTTGGAATCATGTAGGAAAGTTTGGAATCACGTAGAATTGTATAAGCAGAGGGTACATCGAGCTAATGGGCCGACTAATAGACTTATGCCGACCTAATGGGCCGAATAATAGATTTATGCAGATGGAAAGAAAATTAGCTTTGAGCCCAATAAATAGGCCCATTACTTGATAAGATATTTAGCAACCCGAGGAAGCTGATCGACTTCTACGCGATCCACATAGCGTCTGAGACCACTCGCTAACATTACTGCACACGTGTCCCTCTAATAAAGCGAGTAGTCTTCCCGCGCTAAAGTTACGTTAGCAAACGAAAGCTTAACTCACACAAAGGATAATACTGACAGATAAGCCTCTGTAATAAGACTTTGAATTTAAGTTATCACCGTTGGATCTTCGGATAAATAGTATGTACCCGCACGAAACAGAAAAGCTACAAATAGAGGTTTCAGGACATAAAGCTTTGTCTACTTTCCAAACATTGTTTCTTCTTCTTCTTCGTCTTTTCTTCTATTCTTCAAACTCTTATTTTTTGGATTATTTTTAAAAGTGAAAAATGGAGATTTCTGAGAGAGTAAAAGCTCGATTAGCTATTCTCACTGCGCACTTAGCTGTGTCCGATCCCGTAGGATCGAGCCACGTGTTACCGTCAACGATCGAGCCATGGTGCACATCGAGCGGTGGATCCTTAAAAGGAAACTTAACGATCGTGGACGAGCGTACAGGGAAGAAGTATCAGGTCCCAGTCACGGAGGATGGCACCATTAAATCCGTTGATCTCAAGAAGGTATTGACTAATTGTATGATTTAATTGGATTATATTATTTGAATTTGATCTAATGTTTTTGGTGTGGTGACAGATAACTACAGGGAAGGATGATAAGGGGCTTAAGTTGTATGATCCTGGTTACTTGAACACGGCTCCTGTTCGGTCTTCTATCTCTTATATTGATGGAGATGAAGGGATTTTGCGTTATAGGGGTTACCCAATTGAAGAGTTGGCTGAGAGTAGTACTTTCATTGAGGTTTCTTATCTTCTCAGTAAGTCTTCTTGCATCATGTTGCTGCTTGTGGCAAATGTTTGATCATAGTATTGTAAGTTTTATTTTGATAGAAAGTTATCATTTTTGGTGGAATTGAAATTGGATAGAAAGTTATCATCTTTTGTGGGGTGGTTTTGACAGTTTTGGTCTTCTTTAGTGTTATAGTTTGTGGATGAGTATAAACCATTTTGTTTTCTGTGGCAGTGTATGGGAATCTACCTTCTCAAAGTCAGTTAGCTGATTGGGAGTTTACAATTTCTCAGCATTCAGCTGTGCCACAAGGAGTATTGGTATTTTTCTACTCTTTCTCCTCATATGTATTTTCATGCTAGTGTGTAAATTCCAAACTCTTCTGTTCAGTATTATGAAAAGATTCTTTCTAGTAGTAAGGCCCATGAAGGATGACTGGATCACTTTAAACTTTTACTTCCACTAATACCTTACTGAATTCAATGTGTATGTGATGGCTGACCATTTTAACCACATAACACTAAGTGTCTTCTGTTCTATTTGAGAATTTATTATATTGATATCTGATGATTTTTAGCACTAAAAAAACAATTTTGATCTTAGATTGTTTATTGATGTTATTGCAGGAAATTATACAGTCCATGCCTCATGATGCACACCCAATGGGTGTTCTTGTGAGTGCAATGAGTGCACTTTCCATCTTCCATCCTGATGCCAATCCTGCTCTCAGGGTACGTTCTATAATCAAGCTTTCTTTGTGTACTGATAAGATGTCATTTCCTGAAAAGTTCCATGCCCATTGCGCCATGCTCCATTTGTTTGTGTTCTTGATTTTAACTGAAATTCTGATTAAGTGCAGGGCCAAGATATTTACAAGTCAAAACAAGTTCGTGATAAACAGATTGTTCGTATTCTTGGAAAGGTATTGTTGATTTGGTGCCTTAGTGTATAACCAGATTTTCAATATTCAAAAAAAAGGTCGTATATAATAATTAATATGACATGTTTGCAGGCTCCAACAATTGCAGCGGCTGCTTATTTGAGGATGGCAGGCAGGCCTCCTGTTCTTCCTTCTGGCAACCTTTCTTATGCAGAGAATTTCCTCTACATGTTGGATTCAATGTAATGCCAACACCATCTATTGTTCTTATTCATTTTAGCTATAGACACTTGACTTGGTAGAGAAGAGTTAGCTTTAGTGAGTTTAGATCCGTTTCTAGCTTCGAGTGTGTTTGTAACAGGATATATATTTTTTTCATCTTTCAACGATTACAGGGGTAATAGGTCTTACAAGCCTAATCCTCGTCTAGCTCGAGTGCTTGACATCCTCTTTATACTACATGCTGAACATGAAATGAACTGTTCTACCGCTGCTGCTCGGCATCTTGCCTCTAGGTACTTGCCACTGGTTAGCAATTCAATGAGTCTTCTCTGAGGTGTGTTTGAATTAGTACTCTGTCTCTGCAGTGGTGTTGATGTGTACACTGCTGTTGCTGGAGCTGTTGGAGCGTTATACGGCCCACTTCATGGTGGTGCCAACGAGGCTGTCCTTAAGATGTTATCAGAGATTGGGAGTGTTGAAAATATCCCAGAGTTTATAGAAGACGTGAAGAACAGGTAAACTCAAAAACTCATACACACCAAATAATCTTAATTGGGATGAATTAATGTTGAATCTCTTTTTTTTTTATTTTTAGAAAGAGGAAGATGTCAGGTTTTGGACATCGTGTTTACAAAAACTATGACCCAAGAGCAAAAGTCATCAAGAAACTGGCGGATGAAGTGTTCTCCATTGTTGGAAGGGATCCTCTTATCGAGGTATGTTAGATCCTTGTGCTCAAATTTATTTTTGTATTTTTATAATGAATGTGGTTTGAGAAAGTTTTGGTGTATAATGTTTTCAGGTAGCAGTTGCTCTAGAGAAGGCAGCACTCTCTGATGAATATTTTGTGAAGAGAAAGCTATACCCAAATGTTGATTTCTACTCTGGTTTAATCTATAGGTAAAGACATTACTGACCTGTCTTAGAAAGAACTGTAACCGTTAAGTTCTGTATCTTAATCTTGAATTGGTCAACATAAATACAGGGCAATTGGATTTCCACCTGAGTTCTTCACGGTCCTATTTGCAGTCCCGCGTATGGCTGGATACTTGTCTCATTGGCGTGAGTCTTTGGATGATCCTGACACTAAGATCATGAGACCCCAACAGGTACAATACTTTATACATACACTATTTGATTAAAACTACTGACATATAAGGGTTTTGACTCTCATGGGTTAT